CACTACTGATGAGTCTCATACCAGGACGAAACGGCCGTCTAGTGCCTGCAGGTTTCTAATGGTGGTCTAACAATGATTGATTGATGATTTCAAATGTGTAAAAACGCAAACCTCCAAAACTCTGCACAAAAAATTAATCATTGTTGGACAACCAATAGAAACCTAATAGCACTGAAAGACGGCCATATCGTCCTGGTATGGGACCACTCATCAGCAGTGCGCATCCACGATTCATACTACTTAGAAGTCAACACCCTAAGTCTTGTGGTTGAACGACTAACCTCTGGACCACTAGGCCGGCATTCAACGATGTTATTGCCTAACTCTAATCCATCTGGGGATTTCAATTCAGTAACAACTGCCTACACCGGACAGAGTTGAACTACGCTGGTCATGTCTTCTTAACTAGAACGCTGAGAATTTCCGTATGAAGCTAGTCACTAGTAATCACATTTTACGATATTTTCAATTAGACTTATGGAGATCATTGTTTTTATACATTTTTTGAAATCATCAATAAATCACTCAATCTACATCAAGTTAAAATCAAAATGAAAAAAAATAGATATATATAACATTTTAAAATACAAACTGGACAATAATTAACTGAAAAAAAGAGAAGCTTTGATAACAGAAAGCCAAACTGTTCACTATTGTTATTATTACCACTATTAAACACAGTATTACTCACTCCAACGCAAAATACTTCGGATTCGTTGACCAGACACTGTCAGCAACAACTTTCTGTCGGAGAGAACAAACCACATTCCTCCGGTGGAGGAGGAAATCAGAAAGAAGTGTTGGTGGAAGTGGATAGGACACACACACTACGAAAAACACCAAACTATGTCACAAGTCAAGCCCTCACATGGAACCATCAAGGTAAAAGGAAAAGAGGAAGGCCAAGGAACACACTACGCCGAGAAATAGAGAAAGACAGGAGAAGAATGAACAAAAACTTAAAAGAACTGGAAGGGGAAGCCTAGGACAGAGTTGATTGGATAAAACTGTTGGACAGCCTATGCTCCATTATTGGGGGTAACAGGCGTGTAAGTATTACTATCATTATAATCAAGCTCATACATCTGGGTGTTGCATCGTATATATATATATATATATATATATATATATATTGTCACGACGTAATAAATATTTATATACATATATATATGTACACAAATAAACGTGATAATCCCATCAGTTAAGAAAGATTATTCAATGATATAATACAATTTAGTCATCCGTACTAATGATTAATAATAATAATTTCCTATAGATTTCATCTGATAATTAATTCTGTTGAAAAAAAATGTTGATTATCTATCTAGTTTCCATTTAACTTAGTTTGATAAATATATATATATCTGTATATTGCTTTTATTTCTAATCCTGTTAATTAATTCTCCAAGCAAAAATATATGAATATCTTTAAAACTATAGCGCATATTACACTATTGAGCAAATAAGTTTCCTAGTAAGTTTTTTCCATTGAGAAGAAGATCTATGAGCCCAATCGGGAAAAATGAAACACACAAAAGCTGAACGGAAATTCAAAAAACAGCAAATATACAAACAATAAATGAATCACAATATAAAAGAATTAGATAAAAAAAAAACTTTCTATTGAAACGTTTTGATTAATTCTTTTATTTCTAAATACTGCATGATTTTTACATGACTATAGGTTATTAGTCATTAAAATGTGATCAACTTGATAAGTAGTTTTTTTTATTCCATATGACATGATTACATTACTAGAACTAATAATAATGATGATCAAAAACTTTAAGTAACGCCGAATGTTAGTTCATACATGAATTATCGTTTCATCCTGCGATTCATCAACAATGCACATCCATGACTCCTGCTACTCACGGCATTGGAACTCAGGAACATAGATCTTGAGCGCGAACAACTAACCTCTGGATTAAATGAGCTAGCATCCAACGGTGTCAGTGTCTAGCTCTAAGGGATTTTGCGTGACCTCATCCGTTTGTCTTCCACCGGTAACTGCCTACACCTGACAGGGGGTTGAACTCTGCTGGTCACGTCTTCTCAACTAGAACTCTAAGAATTTCCGTACGAAGCTAGTCATTAGTGAGTACATTTTACGAATTTTGTTTTGAATAAGGGTTGCGGAGATCAGTGTTTTTTTACAAATTTGAAATCATCAATCAATCAATCATTGACAAGCCGTCATTCCAGTGCTTCCCAGGTTTCTAATGTTAGTCTAACAATAATGATTGATTGATTCATGATTTCAAATGTGTAAAAACACTGATCTCCATGACTCTAATTGAAAAAAAATCGTGTATTATTATTATTATTTAAATCCAACGATATTTTCAAGTCAAGTCCGTCTGTAGAACCTTCAAGGCAACTGCCGATCCCAAGCCCAGATATATAGGAGGAGGGTTGAACATGGAGTTGGAGATCCCATCCCACCCAAAAAAGCAACGCTAACCAGTATATTTTCAAGTTAATTTCTCCCTAATCATGTTACAACGAACTATTGTTATCTGAGAATGAACTGAGCTGGATCACATTTGTTATATAGATGAAATGACACTTTGTACCTCCTCGCATAATGTCACTATAGACATGAAAGATTTTGTGAATAACAAATTCCAAGCTTTTCATGACCAGAGTATAACAGCAGTTCCCCTGGAGTTAGTCTCAGTTGTCCTACCTGTGTCCAATACGTTTCACTGATGCCTAGCACCTCCAGGTTGTATCTTTTCATTTCTGCCGCAACTTGAAATAGTCTTTCAGTCTCTCACAATGTACGAATGTTCCATGTACCTAAAAAAAAAATGGTTGCTCTGGTTTTCAGAAGAGTCATCGTCCTCGTGAATTCCAACGGAACTCGGCTTTCATCACGAGACGTCATAATTCTTCTTCCAACTGACAGGGCAGAGTGAAAAATGGTTTGAATTATTTTTTCTGGTTAGCGTTTTTTGGCAAGTGAGATTTCGACGGAATGGGGTCGCCAACCCCATGTCCAACTCCCTCCTCCTTTATCCGGGCTTGGAACAAACAAATTCAGAACAAACAAGGTTTACAAAAAAAATAACATGAAAATTGGAAACTGACATAGTATTTTATATTCAACTATCAGTATAATAATTTGAAATTAAATTACTGATCGATAAATTTACCATTAGTATTCATATTAGTGTTTCATAGAAATATGCCTTAATCAAGTTCTACTAGTATCATAACACTCCTATCTTTGTGGGGAATTTCAAAACTGTTGTAGTGAAGGAGAACATAGGTGAGTGAAACCGAATTGTATTTAACGAAAATTACAGAGTTACTCAGTAAAATAGGAAAACCATATCGTAAACGGTTAATTTGCAAATCTTCAATCCATCATCAATCCATTGTCTGACATTTCACTTATTCATGCGTTTCATACGAATTCCATTGTGTTCCCACTCTTCTTGCTTTCTTGATCTTCCCTCATCGTCTGCTGCCAAACATTACGTTGACACTCACGTCATATACTACTTATAAGTAGCGCGCACCACACTGTCATCATTCATTCACATAGAATTATCTTAAAACTTTGAATAAATATCTGTGGATAGATTAAAGTTAGTTACCTGAATCATTTAGACGACTGTTTAAAACAAACGGATTAATCAGAATAGTATTCTAAAAAGTCATGTATGTATCTAAGCCATTATTACCAACTTTGTGTCATTTTACCTACATTAGGACTGTGTATGTAAGCTTTAGACGTAATATATGAGTTATATTTCTAAAAAAAACTGTGAAGACAGAATAGTTTTGATGTAAAATTATAATCAGTCAGCGTGAAGTGAAGTTTGAGAAAACATTCATAAATACCATGCCTAGAATGCAGTGCAAAAATATCTATTCATATTCTCACATGAAGTATGTTGAATAGTACCAAATAGCTTAGAAGACACAACTAACAAGAACTATTGAACATTGAATGATTCACACTGTGGTGCGAGCTACTTATGAGTAGCATATGACGTGAGTGTCAACGTAATGTCCAGGCAGCAGAAGATGGGGAAGATCAAGAAAGGAAGAAGAGTGGGAACACAATGGAATTTGTATGAAACGCATGAATAGTGACAATGGATTGATGTTGCTTGCAACAGGAACAGTCCAGTTCGATATGATGGACTGATATTTTGCAAACTAACAATTTGCGATATGGTTTTCCTATTTTACTGAGTAACTCTGTAATTTTCGTTAAATACAATTCGGTTGCCCTCACCTGTGTTCTCGTTCACTACAACACTATCGATCAAATCTCAATTGAGTAGATACATTAAAATTCACCCTTATCGTTTATTAAACTTCAACTACTGTCCAGTACTTCAAGGTTTCTAATGATGGTCTAACAATGATTGATTGATGATTTGAAATGTGTAAAACACACACTAATCTCTATAACTCTAATTGAAAATACCTTTACATGTGCTGAGTAGTGGTGACAAGCTACGTGAGGAATCTTCTCGGAGTTCTAGTGAGAAGCCATGAGTAGTGGAGTTCAACCCTGTCGGGTGTAGGCAGTAACCACCAAAGACAAATAAGTGAGGTCGCGCGAAATCCCTAGATTAATCAGAGTTAGACATTAACACCATCGGATGGCGGCCCAGTGGTCTAGAGGTTAGGCGTTCGCACACAAGACCGGGTTCGAATCCTGAGAGGTGCAGGAGTCGTGGATGCTCACTGCTGATGAGTAGTCCCATACCAGGACGAAACGGCCATCCAGTACTTCCAGGTTTCTACTGGTCACCTGACAATGATTGATTGATTGATGATTTCAAATGTGTAAAAAAGCACAAATCTCCATAACTCTAATTGAAAACTACAATTCTTTTGATATGACTCGTTTTTTTTGTTTGTAAAAGTCGATTAGTATTTCCTAGTAATACCCAAACTAACAAAAATGCACTTGTATGAGCAAGCATAGAAACACAAATGAACACTGTTAATACCAAACTAAATAACAAACTTACCAACATAGAATAAAACATAACAAACTGATTTGTTTTCAATCATCACTGACATCATGATAATTATTATTATTATTATAATTCAATAGTCAATTTATTGTAAACTATAATTGAACAGTAGTAGTGTTTCAATTGTTAAAACAATATTAATTAATATGTATTTTCTGAGATTATTATTAATCTGACTTATTATTATTATTATTATTGTTATTATCGTTTGACATTATTTGTATGATTCATATAGTATGGTAATCATGTAAATTATTGCTTGAAACAGACCAAAAAAAAAATCAACCAATCAGGTAATTTCTTTGATAAAAATAAAATAAAATTCCCACAAATGTATAATGTGTGTGTGTACGTGTGTGTATGTGTGTGTGTGTGTAACTCTAACCATTGGATAAAACAGAAACACGGTGATTTTTGTTAGATATTTTTTTATAAAATAGACAATCAGTCATGTAACCCATGAAAATAGAGGTGAAAATGTGCGAAATATTTTTGCAAACAATGATAACTATAAATGAATTAAGTAAATTTTACTTAGTAAACAATTGCTTGTATTTTCTAGAGTTGGAATTGTATAGCTAAGATGTAAAGGTTGTTGTGTAGTGAAGGAGAACACAAGTGGGGCAACTGAATTGTATTTGACGAGAATTATAGAGTCACTCAGTAAAATAGGAAAACCATATCGTAAATCGTTCATTTGCAAATTATCAGTTCATCATATCGAACTGGACTGTTCCTGTTGCAAACAACATCAATCCATTGTCACTATTCATGCGTTTCATACAAATTCCATTGTGTTCCCACTCTTCTTCCTTTCTTGATCTTCCCCCATGTTCTGCTGCCAGACATTACGTTGACACTCACGTCATATACTACTTATAAGTAGCTCGCACCACAGTTGTAGCTGGACTTTAGGAATTATTTTCGGAGTACAGAAAACAGTTTGAGTAAACAGAGGTTGCGCAATATCAGAGTTATTAGACATTGACGTCGTTGGATGCAGGCTCAGTGTTGGGGACGTTAGATCCCCAAAAACTCGCTTGTTAAATGCCTTAATTTGGATTTCACGTTTGCCAGCATGTGCTGATCAGTTCACCTTGAGATTTCAATTCCCACAAGGAAAATCCATGGATGTGATTGGCTACTGTGTATTTTAGTGTACTATTTTGCGTAACTGTCCATACGACGTTACTATGATGTATTGTGATTGCTGGGTGTTTGTAGAATAGAATATACTTTCTACGCTTACAAAGCCTTTTTACATCAGCTTGGGATTCAATGTAGCCTACCTGGACGCTGGTTGATTGTCTCGTTCACGTTTATCGACTAAGGTAAACTCGTAATGGCCTCAAGCATACTTAGTGACGAACATAACACTCAATGGTCCAGAATTTAGGCGTTAGCGCGTAATACTGAAAGTTCAGCGTTCAGATCTTGCGAGTAGCAGTAGTTGTGTATGTACACTGCTGATGAGTTCCGTACCTGAACGAAAGGGCTATCCTTTAGTTCTTCCAGGTTTCTAATTATAGTTTAACAATGATTTATTTTTGTATTTCACAAAGTTTTATTTCACAGATATAAATCTATAAATAATTTTTTCAAGAGTATGTAATTTAAATTAAATTTAAACTGGGCGCTTGTTCAATGATGAATAAACACTTAAGGATGATTTACTTTGAAAAAATGAGTAAAATTAATACATTAGAAACCTGGAGGCACTGAACGGCCGTTTCGTCTTAGTTATGAGACTCCTCAGCAGTGCGCATCCACGACTCCTGCACCCCACAGGATTCGAACCCAGGACCTTTGGTATCGTACGCGAACGCCTTACCACCGGACCACTGAGCCGGTATCTATTTCGAATATGTTTATGATTTTGTTTCGAATGATCGAATTCACACAACATTCATAGTAAGTATGCAAACTTCAAAACCATTGAGATGGAAAAGAGGGCAGGTCACATTTTCATCTCCAAACAACTTGTAACTAAACTTGATATTCATTCAAGAGATATCAATGAGTAGCTCTATGGCTTCACTAACCACTATCTCCCACAAAAATCCCTCTCATAGCTTATTGCCAGTGACCATACGTCCATTGAATGTGCAATCCTGAGAACTTGAAACTTGTATTATGTACTTTCAAAATAAAAGTTTTGTTTTAAAAAAATACAATGTTTTGGTACAATCAAAGGAAGGCAGAGATAGATTTGATTGTTAATGCATCTTTACATATTATGTAGATTCTTTTTCATTAGGTAAATTACAGTTAAAGCATTCTTCACTCTAACTACGGTTTAATACTGAAATCCAGGATATTCACTTCATCTTATTTAGGGCTATTCAAACGAGTACACTTGTACACTGGTATGAATGTTCACACTGCAGCTGAATCATAGCACTTTAACCTTCAGAAACTAAGTACATTATTGTTGGGGATGTTAGATCCCCAAAAACTCGCTTGATAAATGCCTTGTGTTTGGTTTTCAGGTTTGCCAGCATGGGCTGACCAGTTCAACTTGAGATTTAATTTCCACACAGGAAAATCCATGGTTGTGATTGGCTGCTGTGTATTTGAGTGTGCTATTTTGCGTAACTGTCTCAAGTATATTTCTATGATGTATAAATAAACGAGAGTTGTATGCTTGATTGTATTGTGTAATTGCTGGGTGTTTGTAGAATATACTTTCTACGCTTACAAAGCCTTTTTACTTCAGTTTGCGATTCAAGGTAGCCTACCTGGACGCTGGTTCATTGTTTCGTTCGCGTTTATCGACTAAGGTGAACTCGTAATAGCCTCAAGCATACTTAGTGACGAACAAAACAATTATCCAATGAACTACTACTATGTTAGGATAAACACTCACTTTCACTATGGAATTAATTTCTAATGGTTTGGTATTATACTATTGTTGTTAGTAGTTTGACAAAATTTTAATTAGTCTTCATTGAAATCCATTTGATGAGTCCCTGATAGAAAAAAACACAACACAACATAACACGAACCTTGGATTCCGCTACCAGTCAAGTTTTCCTTTATTTCATAAAAGCTTATGATGTGTGATAGTTATTGTAACTTCAGTCTTTTGGTTGGTTTGCGTTTAACCCGAAGGTACCTTGTGTAGTTTATGGCTGTGAAACATGGCCAATGAGAGTAGAAGATATTCGTAGGTTACTGGTTTTCGATCATAGGTGTCTTCGAAGTATTGCTCGTATATCGTGGGATGGCCGAGTGAGCAACGCTGTTATTAGGATTCGGGTGCTAGGTAAGAATGGCAGATCAATTGATGAAGTATTGAAACTTCATCAGTTGAGGTGGTTCGGACATGTGTTACCTATGCCTAACCACCGACTGCCTCGTCGAGCTTTGTTTTGTAGTGTAGGAATAGGTTGGAAGAAAGTTGGGGGCGGCCAAACCAAAACATGGCACAAATCCATGAAGTCATTGACGAGTGGACTGAGTCGTGTCGGTAGTTGTCGACTACCTGGTTGGGGTCGGCGAGATGATAATAATCGATGGTTAGATACCCTGAATGACGTGGCTCAAAATCGTTCGCAATGGCACCGGTGTATTTATTCTTTGTGTTCTCTCAAATCCTAATTTTCTGGATTCTTCAACAACTCTAGTTTTGACTTTCTTAACTTTTCTCATTGAATCATACTTCTTGAATAATATCTTCTAATCCTAACCTCTCCGATTACTTCTAATACCATTACTACCTCTTCTACTATTGTATTTGAATTGACAATGGCGTCTCTGTGCTGATGTGGTATGGCAACATGAACTGATGTACTTACGTACGGAGTTCTACGTTGCATCTGACTGACTGACCTTGTGTACTGGGGTGGGGGGATGTGAAGAGTAGCGTATGAGATTTTATCTGGAAGAAGAAAGAACAAGAGAAAAATAAGATGAGCCGACGGACGACTCAGTAAGCACATAGAATAATGAGTGCACTTACATGCAATATACGAATAAATAAATGGACAGCAACCAGATATAAAGGGCAGCGTGAGATTAAGACAAACTGATAAACGAAACCTAGGAGTTGATAGAGTAAAGGGTTTCGAGCGCGTTACACTATACCACCTAAACGATCTACTTATATATATATATATATATATATATATATATTTAAGAATATTAAAGATTCCCACTGTTAAAATTAGACCAACACATGTAATAAGCGAACAATATTACTGTTTTCGATTAGATCGTCATCAGGCTTTCTACTCTAATATACATGAATATTTTCATTTGAAAATGTTAAACCAATCAAGGCAATTTGAGTGATAATCACAATGAAATGAAAAAGGCAAAAGTACAAGTGGATAGTAGGAAGATAGCTGAACCGATAGTAGTAGGGAAAATTTATAAAATATGATAACTACAGTAGGTCAAAGGTGGATGAATAGAATTCAAATAATCATCAAAAAACATCAAAAACATTACATAATGTGCAAATGTGCATTAGGGGGTTGTGAAGATTGTTAAGTTACACATTTTTGAAACCATGAACCGATCAATGTTAGACCACCATTAGAAACCTGGAAGCACTGGACATTAACACCGTTAGTTACGGGCTCAGTGGTCTATCGGTTAGGACGTTCGCGCACAATGCCGAAGGTCCTGGGTTCGAATCTTGCAGGGTGCAGGAGTCGTGGATGTACACTGCTGATAAGCAAATGTGTAAAAATTATAAAATTAAAGTAAATAAAAAATATATAATGTCAGTCGTTAGTTACGTCATATCCGGCCACGGAAGAGATAGGGGTGTCACAAATTTCTTCTGAACACATAAATTAGGATTGAATGTACGTATTCCTATGGCTTCTGCAATGTGTAGGAGACGGGATCGAACTCCGTTGGGAAATGATGGAGGTATACGATAGATCACTCGAAAAGACCTAGACTTATCTACAATATGACCACTATCTACCAGGTGTTCTAAGATAGAACTGCATATTATTTTTGACTGACCCTTCTTAAACCATGCTGCGAGATGTTCACTGATTCGTTGGGTAAGTTGCCTGGTTAGTACGCCCGATATAGCTATCTCCACAGGAGCAGCTGAATTTGTAAATGCACATAGAGGAGGCCAAGTCAGGTAACTTATCCTTCGTTTGGGTTTAACATTTTCATATGAATAAATATTCATGTATATTACAGTAAAGCCTGATGACGATCTAATCGAAAACAG